GTGTTCTAATAACATGAATGTATAAATAACCTTATATTTAAAATTCGAGGTTTGGCTGAGTTATGACTATGTTATGGCTGAGTTATAATCATGTTACGGCTGATTTATACGTTAGATATGGCTGATTTATGATTTTGATATTCAAATTCGGGGTATGGCTGAGTTATAGTTACGTTCCGTCTGAGGTATAACATAACGTTACGACTGAGTTATATAATGAGGTCAGGTTGACTTATCGTAAATTAAATTCGTGGTTTGGCCGAGTTAATTCCAGACGACGTCGTTTACTTCTTTCTTCTCCCTTATAGTCATAATCGAGCGATCAGATTGGGGATTTAGGGTTCTTATCGATTTCTGGGATTCACATCCGATTTCTTGGTTTATCTTCGATTAAAGAATTATACTTCTCAATTTTAATATGAGCGACTACTCTTCCAGTACATATCGTTCAACACATGGTGCTTACCCTCCAGATCTTCCGACGAATTGCGGATGTTGGTGTGGTCACGATATCATCACATACATATCAAAGACAAAGGAAAACCCTTACTGTATCTTCTATAGATGCTCGATTGCTTTGAAGGTACAAATTTTAACATATGGGTATCGATGTTGGTTTTTTGTTAATTAGAGGCCGAATGAGTCGCATTTCTTCAAATGGGTTGATGAGGCATCGGTTGAAGAAATTAAGATGGTCGACGCAAAGGTACAGAGAATAGAAGAAGATGTGACGGACTTAAGGCATCAACATACTCAAAATTTAGATCTCCAAAAAGAAATGTTTGACAAGCTTGAGGAAGAACTGAGTAAGAAGCTTGAAGAAAAATTGATGAAGAAGATTGAGGATGATATGGGTAAGACAGCTTTGAAGACAATTTGTCTACTCTATGTAATAGGAATCGCAATTGTATGGCTATGGGAGAGAATATAATTGTTGTTTCATGATGTTTAGACTGATTATGTTGTAATTTGTGTTGTTTAAGATTTCTTTTCATGTTAAATGAGAAATAGGGTATGGCTGACTTATAATTATGTGACGGCTAAGTTAATGTGTTCAAGTTACGGCTGAGTTAAGAGTATAGTTATAATTTATAATTAGCATTTATATAAGTATATAATGGATATGACATATAATAAATATATATTACCAGCAAATATGCATGTTAAGATTGTTAATTTTGAAAAGAAAATGGAAAATTTACACAATTTCATCCAATTCAAATTATGTAGTGTTGGTTATGACTAGAAACTTGTTCTTGTGTGATAGTTTTCGAAATGTTACCAACAAAGTCTAAATTATTGATGAATAATATGGTAACATGATTGTATCATATTTAAACCTAATATTTATGTGATTTAAGTGATTTCATAACTTGATTATAACTAAAAATTGAGATAACGCATATTTAGGGTATGGCTGACTTATACTATGTTATGGCTGAGTTATAGATAACATTACGGCTGAGTTATCAATAACCTATTAATTACATGATTCCGTTACGGCTGAGTTATAACAAGAAATTGACATAACGCATATTTGGG